TGCCACTGGGAGCAGCAGCTGTAAGAGATGTCCCCCTCCTATCCCCTTGGCCCCAACTGCCTGCTGGGGACCCGGGGGAGAAGGAAAATTGCTTTCCCACCACCCCCACAGTCACTGAAGGGCTGTATTCGACAGCTGCTACCACCAATGCAGCAGAAGTATTGAGTTTTGCTGATACTTCAGGGCACTGATGGCTGAGGCAGCAGTTTTGTCTGCAGTCTGTCACAGGGGATCAAGTAAGCCAATGCTCTTGCAGGGGGAAGGATGGAAAGCTGTGGACTATGGGATACTGTGGGGTCTAAAAAAACCCCTGCAGTGCTACAGGGAGCTGTCCACAAATTATATGTAGCACTACAAGATGTAGCGCTACAGAGTTCTGCTTTGGATGAGGAACATTTTTGTGGTACTACAGATGGCTTGCACATATGGATACTCACTTTTTATAGGGCTACAAGAGTGATTGTAGCACTACAAATGTAATGTCTGTCTAAGGCCTAAGATTGCAAACAACAAAAAAGCTACTTTTCTCATCATGCACGTGCACAACTTTTCCATTTTATCTACTTGTACCTGGAAGCCCTGGACATGGAACGTATCTCGCATGTTAAAAAGTTGGACTGTTTGGAACAGATTCTCTCTTGTGGTCCAACTCCATTTGGCACAAGACATCAGAGAGGCTTCTGTGGCTCACTGATTCCAAGGAACAGGGAGCAGGCTTCTCTGATGTCTGATGTCACACATTACAACAGTCCAGTGGCTGCTCTAACTTACACCACTGGCGTATGGGCCTCTTACCAGTTGTAGATGCCTGCTGTGCGGGGAGCTCCATGCCACCCCACTCTACTCCTTTTCTCAGTACACACTGTCCTGCCTATGGGGCACAAGGTGGCAAATTGCACATGGGCACTCATCAGAACTCGCCCTAAAGCTCACCTAGGGATTATTCCAAAATTAGATAGTCTAAGGGTGGCCTCGGCAAGAAACCCATTGCTGGAGGACAAGAAGAACATTACTGCAAGCTAATGATAATATTCAATGTAGCGTGGAAATCCCCAATTACATTCTTTTACTGACATTTAAACTAAGTGCCAATTCAGTGAAAGGAAGTGGTTTCCTTCCTTCCTGCACAACCCCGCTGACTTGGTCATATAAATCAGTCTGTTTTAACTTCTCTCCAAAGTTATTAGATGCTTAATTAATCTAAAAACTGATTTTATCCTGTAACAAAATCTGAGAGTATTTAATTATAAGTTGCAATTCAGGCCACACCATGAGTCAGTCCTTCATGCAAATGAAGACAATTCATATGTATTCACAAGTGAAATATAATCAGCATTATTTCTTTCTCAAATTATTTCTCTCATTAATTTAATTCACTGATGATCACAACATTCCCATTTCTTTAATCCAGTTTCCATCCGTATAAAATATGTACGCCTACATCTGAAAGCAAGTATTCATTACAGAAATAAATAACTTGTTAAGCAGATAGGTTTGCGTAAAATAACTAGCAAGAACAAAGCATGGTTATGTTCTGTTTTTTAGATTTCCTATGAAGCTTCTACTACCTACTCCCACTGTAGAAAACCACTGAAAACAATAAGTCTACCTATGGCAGTATGAAAATAAATGTTATCATTTCACCAACATAAAAAGAAACCAATTTTCAATTTGAAAATTTACCCTTCACTTACATGAACTTTTACCCTCTTCCTGTGATACATGCAGGTTACATTCTGATGTACTCTGCAGCTTGTGGAATGATTTCTCTATGACTTACAAGTCATGGCTAGTAGGTTATACATATGGTCTCCTTATAGACACCCCCAAAAAAAGTGGAGGGAGAGGGATGAGAGGCTTGGCACCTTTGTCCACAATGCAGGATACCATGCTTAAGTCTTTCTACTAGCTCCCAGCTGGTTTCAGATACCACCTGTCATCCCTCAATTCTCCTCCTCCGCATATTTCTCAGTGTGCGCACTGGGTTGAAGTGCTGTCTGTGCCACTATTGCTGCTGCTGCTATAGGGAGAGTGTTTTCCCTTGAAGACCTCCATGTTATAGAAAGAATGATCACATGCTTGGTTCAGTGGTGAAGGCTCTGCTAGATTTATTACCTACAGAGCACTTATTCAAACTTTCATGGTCAATGTGTTTACAGGGTGTTAGCCCTGGAGGCTCGTGGTAAGGTACAAGCACAGCTGGCACATGCGTCCCTTAGGCCTAGCGCAATTATGGGTTCCCAGACCCTTCTGTATACACTGATCAAAATAACTTCTTTTACAGCATATACATCCTAGTTCTCAGCCAATACTACAATATTTTCCCACTGAATAGGAAAACATCTTTAACAGATCGTCTTAATCCTTGTACACTCCATCCTTATTTTGGTGTCCTGTCTGGTCGCATCAATCACCCATATCCATTTGCCTTATGAGAAATTTACAAAACCAAACTTCCCCATTATTTACTAATCTAAGCCTGCATAAGAGATATTTGTA